AGCATTTCTACCACTAAGTCGATGAAAAGAAAAAAAATAAAACGGTATAATCCTTAACTCCGTTGTAGTCTTCGCGGTTTAAGTATTAAACTACCAGAGACTTTGTGTTTTGATAAGATATTCAAGGGTAAAGTTTTAAAAGCGTAGAGGGGAGAAGTAAACACAATACGGGACGTCATCTGCGCATGTCTGAAATTTTCCTCAACTCACGTGCGTACGCTGTTCCGTGAGGCCTAACTTTCCGGCAGTGCTGTTTATGGAGTGCTGGTGAAGGACTGGTGCGAGGGATATTCAGTTCCTCTATGAAATTCCACTTTTAAGTTGTGTCTTTCTGTTCATAGACTAACTTAGACGCCGGAAGTCGATATTCCCAATTCTTAGAATTACTGCAAAACAAGATTTCTACTGAAAGGAACACGAGATTTGTTCAAGTAAGTTTATTTCATATTTTTCTTTGTCAAAAAATAATTACGTCGGACAACTATAATTCAGTGCGTAAGGCGATTTTATCAGGGGTTTAAAATTTCGTGCAAGGTTCCTTGATAACTATGTGTTACGAAAAATTGGGTTGCGTGACCAGCATGACCTTGCTTCGAGAAGTTTGCTTATTTTAGGGTATTGCGTAAGCGTTTCTAAAAGCGGTATATTTTGTAATCTTGCTTTAATTAGACTATTTAGAAGGATATAGAATTTTGTTTTGTAAATATATAGGAAGGCGAGGCTAAGCTAAGTTTTAACTAGATTTCACAAGCGAAGAGAATTTGATTTTAACGTGTTCACTCAAGTGTGACGAGGCAGTGTTTATCGAAGCTGGCGGAGGCCGTGTGAATTTACAAGTTGAGTGAAGCTGGTGGAGGCCGTGTAAGTTTATCAAGTTACGTACTGTAATAGAGTTTTACTTCGTGGAAACTACGTTCATTTTCTGGAATAAGTCTTCTTGTTGCTCTTCCGACAACCTTGAGTTCAGATTACCCGCGTAACACATTTCGTCCGAGGTTTCTTTGATTCGATTACTATTTCGTCGTATTAATTAGGATTGTCCTCAGTGGATTTCAACCGTACTTCAAGACTGTCGCAAGACACAGACACAAAGTATTTCCTGAAGAGAACGTCGACTCATTGCAAATCGTTGACGATACTTCGAAATTATGAGCACTGGTAGATTGTCAACTGTTTGAAGGTAAGTAGCGCACAGGAAGATAAAAAACTAAATTCCTCACACTGTTCTGTTATGACAACGAATCGGAACTTGCATCAAAAAACTTGAAGACATATAGTTCTTTTATTTTATTTTAAAGATGAGCCATTAGAAACCTCATCTAGGAAATAAAATCTTGTATTGCTGCGTGGAACGAAGTCTAACTTATACTGCCCGGTTCGAGGAAATACGGAAGTGGCGTGAGTGGACCTTCAGGTGTCTCTATGTGTTAGAGATGATAGGTGTTTTCAAGAGTTTGATATAATCATTCGGTTCCCAAAACTCTAAATCAACATAAAGGTTTGGCGATATTGAAGAAAATTTTGGCTTCATCCTCGGTGTAAAAACCTGTGAAGCTCACGAGTGACGTAAAACAAAGACAACAAAACATTATAAACAATAGCGTACAGCAAAACAATACCTCATGAAACAAAGAAAACCTCGAACGCTAAAATTCGAGAACAGAAACTCGTCACTAGTCCAAATCGACTATACTTGAACAGCAAAACAAAAGAAGTGGTAAAGATCTCTTTGAAATTTCTGCTTGACTATTCAAAATTTACTCGTGGCTTTTTTTTTTACACATCGCAATGAAAGAAACTCGCATGAATTGAGAACGCTAAAACTCCGAAGACGACGAATAAATATGCTTAAACCATCCACAGGGAAAAATCACTAAGTTTTCCCTTAACAGTAAGACCCAGGTCGCATGTTTTAAGCTTAACTATCAATACACCTCTGCGTTTCTAAAACACAGTGACTTACTCGCTTGTGTGGTTGATTGTGAGTTTTGGACAATGTCTGCGACGAAGTCGCAGAAAGCGGTAGAAGGGCTAGACAACCAAAACAAAGAAAAAGTTTAAACGACCCTCTTGGGTTTATTGTGCTACAAACACATCTGGCTCTCTTTCTCGATTCTCAAAATAAACAAATCATTCTTGATTCTTATTAAAGCGACTTCTTTTTACTTTAAATCAAATCCTTCATTGACTAAGCCAAAGATAAAATCTATCTTAACTCGAAGTCGTTTACCGTCGTTTCTTTCAATTTTGGCTAATTTTCTCACGCTGAAATTATCATACATACTAAATAGAATATATAATTTCAACTGATACTGTTTATCTGAAGAAGAATACCTTCCCTACCCTCGAAAAAATCCGTTCAAAACATCTGCAACATTAATTTAGCGGATGGTGCTAATTTACCCGATGATGAACTGGTGTCGAAAACGTTTGGTTTTTACTTTTCAAATAAATTTTTGCTTTGTAAACGGCTCGTTTTTAAACCCGTGCTAAGATTGAAAGGTTTTAAAATAGTTTTTTCTTTGAATTTCTGTCTAGCTGTTTGTTCCCAAGGTCATATTTTAGAGTATCCGGCGCGAATTGTGTAATACCGCTAGGATGAATTGTCTTAATTCAAAAGGGAAATTTCCCTTCTTAAGGCACATCACGCCACTTTACTCTTTCCCAAGAACAATATAAGGACTCAGTCGGAGCGCAACCTCAGTCGCCTGACTGCGCATTTCCGATGTATAAATCATTACGCTAATCAGTCTCATTGTGCGCCGCCAAGAAACTTGAATTTCAAGGTAGGTATATAACAAGACTAACCACCATTTAGATGCATCTTTATCAACAGAACAAGGAAGATCGCTGCCTGTTGTCGCTTCCTGATCGATGTCCCTTGCCAGAAAAGAGAAAGCAAATACCTTCACCAAATACCGAGACGATGGCTCATCGCGTAAAACAAGAACATTCTCCAACCTTTTCGCACAGTAAAAGAAATATCTTTCAAAGTCTAACTTAAAGTAGAGGCAAAGGGTTGCATTTAAGACCATTTAATGAGTTTTAAGACTAAGGAAAGTAGATATACTGCGGGACTTTTCAAAAGCCTTCAGCTGCCAACATTTCTGCGTCATCACTTTCGATTTCTTCCAAAATAATGTCCACCACAGCTTATGGTATATTTTGGAAGACACTAAGGAGAAATTAAAATACAATGTCCTATGTATTGAGAAGAAAATGCAAAGAATACGACTTTATCTGCTGTCAATTAACGGGTTGTATCCCTGAATATAGGTAATGCTGAAGTTTATGTAAATTCTGTTTGGAAACAGTTTCCGCTTCAGTTCTTTCACACGTCCTAGATTGTTCCTATTTTCAATGGATAAACAACACTTGTGCTAATATTAAATTAACTACATCGTTCGTTTACAATTGCTACAATGCGATGATTCTTCAACAACTAGTCGCAGGTTTTTGTCTTTTAAATCTGCATTAGTAAATGGTCAGACAAATAATTTCGTCTCGTCTCCATGTCTAAAAATAAATGTGGGGGTTTTTAGTGAAACGTGATTGGCTGCCTTTAATTGCCGTGACTCGTGATTGCAAAAATTAAAAGCGGTGAACTGTGAATGATATGCCAGTCGCGATACGTGAAACAAATATACTATTTTCCGTTATCCATTGTTACTAAAAAGAAAACGCATTTTATTCGGTGAAAAATTACTTGCCGAAAATGTAAAATCTCTTGACCAAGCCTGTTTGGTCAAGATGGCCGGATTGGTCAGCGTTATATTGTTTTGGAATCTGTCAATTTGATGCCAAAAGCACATCAGTATGAAGGTTTGTAGCCAATGCTTCTCGGCCTACATCTCAAGAAAAGAAAAGACACTTATTAAAATCAGCGAGAGCCCACAATACGCCATGAATTTTGGTCAGAGGATTCTCTGGTGCAACAGTTGTCACTTTAACATCTCAATGTGGATGCACAAGCACAGTTAAACTAATGCATTGGAGGCTTATTACATTTAGGACCAAATGTTATTACATTTAGGACTTTATTACATTTAGGACCAAGTGTTATTGCATTAAGGACTTTATTACATTTAGGAAAGTTATTACATTTAGGACTTCAACAGAACGCAGGGAAGGCAGCAGAAGACAATAAGCATCACACCATCATTTCTGGATTGCGGGCGATTATAAAAACAAACGCTTTTCTTGAGAAATACCTCAGTAGGTTAGATCGGTCCATTTAGCTGTCATGATATGCAGGATACGTCTAGATAAAATTTCATCGGGAAAAAATATTTTTAGTCCCCATGTCTAGTTTGACGTGCGATAGCAGGATTTGCCACGTCCACGAATTAGAGCGCTGCTTTTACTCAAATGTCGAGGACTCTTACCCCGGGCCCGGTTATAAAGGCAGCAATTTGAAGAACACATGGCTTGAACAAGAAATTCTCCTTTCCTTGCAAGTATGGAAGCCAGCAGAAGTAGCGCAAACGTCTAACAAACCGCAAAAGATCAGCCGATAGCATTTCGCGCGATATTTTTTCTTTCGTTTTAGAATGAAATGGGTTTGTGATTGATATGAGAATCATTCAGTGAAGTTTTGGTCGAAGGATTTTAGTTTGATGCGACCGCCTCCAAAATTTGGCAAGTACAAAGAATTCGCTCCATGATCCAGTGCGACACGGCCCTTTTTCCATTAGAAATATCTCAATAGACGCGATCTACACATCATGTAAGCTTTTAGGAAGATTTTTTTCGTTGAAAAGAAAACATTTTACTTTTTGAATCAGCGACTTTTTCCGAAAAGGGCCGGTAAATTTGCGACTCGAGCGTGTTGCGAAATACAATACCTTGTGTTATTCAATGGATGATGGAACTGAGGAACAGTGGAATAGCGGAAAATCTTACGACACAGAATGATGGATTATCCTAACACTAAAGTCTCAAAAATGGAATTACGATAAAATGGCAAAAATCTTTCCAAATAACAGGCAAAATTAAAAGAAGCATAGGTAATCATTGATGGAGCCCAGGGGATAGGAGAATCATAAGGCTTTCGATCGAATCCCTTTAAATTATTATTATATTACTATTGTTATCATTATTATCATTGTAAATATTATTTGTTACCATTTCAATTATTGGTTGAATCTCTTGTGGATTAGGCTACTTATAAATACGTGGGATGTGGCAGGTTTGCTGTTTCGCATGTGAGACAAATACTCTGCAACACTTCCTTATAGCGTCATTATACAACTTCTGGTTCTATTCAATGCTACAAGACTTGTGCAATACCAGTAGCCACATTTTCAATAAATTTGAGACGGCGATGACCGTTATGTCCAAGAGCATTTTTGGTCAACCAAAAGTGGTAAAAGTTATGTTCCTTTGTCGGAAAGTGATCTCTATAGTACCAGTAACTTTTTTCACTTTTCTTTCAGATGGGGAGTTTGCTTTCACGGAACGACACACAAAACCATCACCATGACGTATCGATGCATAGAGAAACCACCTCAAGAGGAGGAGGTTATTCTGCCGTTTCTAATGAGGGTGGAAGTTACCCATTCATGAACAATTATCGAACTGTAGCCAGGACTTCAACAGCCCCACCTGTAAGAAGTGCTACAGAAGGACATAGTGTCAAGCTGCCTTCTACAACATCCCGGGCATCTTCCTATCTCCCCAGTAGCGTCACAAAGAAACCTTACGAAACTGAGAGAGTTGTCAAATCAGCATCAAGGGAAACTTATGGTATTTCTGTCGTCAACCCCGCGAGTAATTTGACCACTGTGAAATCAAAATCGACTGGTGTTGTTGCCAAATCAACATTACACGCACCTAATAGTTATCATGCAATTTCTGGCTCTAGATCTACAGCAGAAAGGACAAGTTCCACCTCAAGTGTTGCTCGTGTAAGGCCCAAGCGGCATGCTTGCGGCGAACCCAGATCATCGACAAACAGGCGGAACGTTAGTGATAAGAGCAATCTAGGAGATAACAGCAGACGAGTTGCAACATACGGTGCTAGAGGAGGAGGCAGGGTGGTCATTTCTGTACCCCTCAATCCGTGGCAAGTGCTGGGTCTCGATTCATCTCACGCATCTCGTGAGGCTATCAAAGCAGCTTTCAAAAAGAAGATACATCAACCAGTGCGTCAGAATCGTGCCATGGCCTCAATTGCTCATCATATGTTAACCTCATCAGCTGGCAGGTACAAGCGAGTTGAGGGGACGGATGAATTTGTGGTTACAAGGCGTGACCACTTCATGCTCGCAGCTTGTGGCCACACACATGAACTCACCCATCGGATTGCTAAGAACGGCAACATTGTCGAACGAACGGATGAGCATGGTCGAACACTGCTTTACATTGCAAGTAAGTCTGGCTTTTATGATACCTGCAATTTACTTCTCCAAAAAGGTGCTTCTGTCAATAACGCTCAAAGAGATGGCAGCACTGCTCTCCATGCTGCAGCCTTTTATGGCCATGAACTGGTCGTTGGTCTCCTACTTCAACATGGAGCAAAGAGTGATATCAGAAACAGCTGGGGTAATACCCCGATTGACGAAAGCGCCACACCAAGTATACAGAATTTGATCCAATCCGCTTCCGGAGACAAAATTTCGTCACTTGCTGCCAAGCTCAAAGAGAAGCAACTTGTGAAAAGCGTGCGCCATATTGAGTACCAAGGAGAAGTCATGGCAAAGGAGCTCACACGCGATCCTCGCTGTCTGGATACCCTCACGCGAGATGAGTGGAATAACATTCAAGACACATGGGAGACAGCATGGCATGGCACTCGTTATAACTATCTGGAGTCAATAATCGACAAGGGCCTTCTACCCTCCGGGTCAAGTGGCATAAAGCCAGCAGAGGGACACTACAAACTTGGTGAAACGCATTTTGGCATCCGAGACTGGGCAGCAGCGATCTTTCTTTCACCAAGTATCCTTTACGCATCTCACGCCTGCTATTCTGAACGAATCTTTTCCGAATCCCAACAGTGGTGCGTCCTTGTCAAGACTTTATGTAAACCTGGTAGTTATAGGTCATATGATCCAACCGTGTTCCGATACGAACCAATGGATGGTGAGCCAGTCATGCCAGAGTATCGCATTCCAGTCACTGAGGCAGACAAAAATGTCATTCTGCGAGTTGAGTCTACGCGCAGCGTTGTCGTCCAATCGTTGATATTTGTGCGCCTCAGCTTTCTTGAAAATCAAAACATTAACTTTGACCAAGCAATGAAACTCTTGCGGTGATGTTACACACCTACTGTAATCGTCAACTAGCGGTTGTTTGAATGGCGCTATCTTTTTGCCTTTGGAGCTTGCTTGACTCCAGGAAAAAAATGTAGCAAATCAATTCCAAACATAGTTATCCCTTAGTATTTTCATAGATGTCGCCTTTTTGATCTCCAGAGAGATTAGAGTCAGGATGATTGTTGACCTGTGTTTAACAGAATTATTTTACACCATGATTTACGAAGACATTTAATCATCGAATTTAAAGGAGGTACTTATCCCTATGGTACACCTGTCTTGGCACTGACATAAGGCATGAGCTGTGCGAACCACGAGAATTTCTTATCTCCAATATATTATAGCATCGATATAGACGGGAAATGAACTATATATCAGAACTATTCAGAATATTACTCGATCGACTACTGTGGGGGAGCAAAGACTGTCAGTTATTGTCTTTGAAAAGCCCCTTCGGGGAAATTCAATAAAGGATGTAAGTATGTATGCATTATCTTTACTGTATATGAGAAGTTCACCTAGCTTGCTACAAATATTGCAGTTTACTTATAAATGTGTTTAACTGTGACAGCATAATCAAAGAATTTCTTTTCGCAGCGACGCTTAGTTCGAGTCTGCGTTGCTAAATGACATCAGACAGTTTGGTTCAAAATGAGCTGCGACTCTGAACGGATAACTAGATCAACTATCAACTTTAATCTCCGCTTTCTGTCGAGGATAGGATCATTCAATCGTCTAATGTGACCCTTAAGTGAGACATTCGGTATTTACCATTTTTTGACGAAGGATGATGCGATTGAAGTATAAATACGCGGAAAACCTTTCCCAAAGGATGTTCAAGTTACGAATTAAGATGTTCTTCAGTGATAACTCCCGGAGAAAGCCGGGCAATTCGTATCTGCAGGACGTAGTGAAGTGAGAAACTTAACAATCATTCAAGATTTCATTTTCTTTCCTTCCTAGTTGTGACACTGGTTCTTTTAAAGAAGCTTCATCACACCCCTCACGTACCCCTTCGCCCTCACAAAACATCAAAAAAAAGTACGACATGTTAATTAATTATCGTGTTTGATCAAAAGTAACTACGAACGTAGTACAAGTTCACCACTTCATGTGGCTAATAAATACATATACAACACGTACTTTAATTTACCTTTTGATATCTACAGTATGGAAAAGTCGGTTGCAAAACTATTTCGCTGATGAGTATAAGACTGCTAGCAGGCCCACGGGAGAAGTAGTGAAGCCCGTAGGTTACGAGCCGGCCGGCGATGCTCTGTGTAAGGAATTTTTTTGAAATGGTGCAAAAAAAGGTAAGCAGTGAGTTGGTTGCATGTTAGGCTGAAAACTGAGATATCAGCTTAGACTACAAAAACTCATTTTGACTCGGATGAATATTGATTTACATGACCATAGCAAGGAATGAGGCAAAAGAGTCTAGTTCATCACCAGACGCCCTGGTGAACGCTTTGCTGAGCTTGTGAATTTCCACGACTCCGCTTTCGAACACCAGGACCTAAAAATAGGAAGACAAACAATGTAAAAGTGGAACAAGGTAAGACACAGCGCAAGGCTGTGGAAAAAAATAAAAAATAACTGACAAAGTAACGCTGCCTAACTCCTCTCTTTGCTAAATGATGTGATGCTGACGGGGTACACTGACAAACAAAGATCACCAACATTTAAAATGATAATTCACGTAGAAATCTAACTGCGTACCAATTCTGGATTTCTTCCTGGAATACCAATCCCGGATGCTGAGTAATCATTAGACAGCTCAAAACACACAACTCTGAAAGATCAACGACGAAAACAACAAAAAAACAGAAGCCGTAAAATAAGGAATTAATATATAAAACATACATAGGTAATGAAATGGGTTTTGCACGACGCAAATCTACTCTCGATTTTTTTTTAACTTCGAATTCACATAAACCGAAAACAACGACTTACACCACAGAATGATAACTTCTCTGTAACCTTTTCTTTGCATACTTTTAATCTGAAGTTGCGAATAGGGTACCTGTGTCATCGTTCATCATTCTTGGAACAGAAATTTGGTACGCATATATGATAAAACAAGGAAAAAAACCCCGCAGAAAAAAAAAAACTTCTGTACTCTTACCGTCCATGTTTGAATTTCTCAACGGCCACTGGACCTTGATCACTTAACAGTAAGTCCCTGAGAAATAAATTCCAACCATAAATAGAAAATTTCAAAGTTTAAAAAAGAACAAAATTTCTCTCTGTATCTCAACAAATTCGTTTCTTCTTTATATGATTGAGTCTAAAAAATTGTCAACGAAAAAAGACTCATAATTGTTCTAGGGATAAGGAACCCAACTCTCTTGAATCAGATGACCTCCCACCAACAGGACTAAATACCATTAAATAATTTCGACTTAAATTGAGGAATGCTACGTCACAACTTTTATCGTCAACTTTTGTTTTACTACCCTCTTCTCCTCTAACTGACACAATGTGAGATCACTATTTCCCACCAATGAGAGTTTTCACTAGAGACCGTTAGTATTTGTAACAAAAATCACGTAAAGCGCGCGCTCTGATTGGTCAATTATGTGTCCACTATTTGCCCATGAGTGTACGCTGCTGACGTGAGCAAATGTTTCCGAGTAAGCAAATGTTTCACAAGAAATTTTTTTATGTTATAAAACAAATGGTACTGAAACACCACAGCGTACACTTTTGAGTTATGATACGATTTGGGAATATATACCCGACGAATAGCTTCTAGGTATACGTGGGTCTGCTCAAAGCCTCACCAGATATGTAGGTTAGAATTTACATCCAACACATAAAATACACTGGGCCTGCTTCGAGACCACTGCACCGATATAATTCCATCCCCGTTCGTGGATGCAGACCAGCTGAATAACGGTGTTTCTATAAATACAAAAGTAGAAACGTTTGTTGATGATACCCGTTCGCTGAAGAAATTTTCCCCAAAATCTCTTAACGCTAATTTTTTCAATAGCCATAACGTAAATTTGAAAAATATGGAAAGAGTCTCGCTGTTGGGGGAGTTCCTTTATCAAAACAGTGGATAGCGCTGAAAGCCTGCTCTAATTAGCTACTCAAACTCCGAAGATCCTCTGGATTCACCTACGAGCAATTCACCCAGGATTTGTACCAAAAAAATATTGTAATCATTGCAGGAATAAATGAGTAAAAATTATCTTTTTGTGCTATATTATCTCACTGTTTTGGCCTATACGAAAATAATCAAGTCACTATATTATCTCACTGTTTTGGCCTATACGAAAATAATCAAGTCACCCCAGTGTCGGTGGCTAGCATTGGATATTAACATCGTCGCTTCGCAGCTCAGTAAATATCAACCGTTATACACCTCCACTTCGGTGACTAACTGTACAATATAGTTACGCAGACGGGAAAAAATCATGTATATACTCACGATTCTTTAAGTTAAACAGCCATAAATTCCCATCCTCTGTTCCTGCCTGTGAAAATACAGCCATAATACAACTCAACAATGATACTTCTTGACCTGATACCCCTCTCTATCTACAATTCAATTCGGCATGATTTCATAAAAAAGTACTGGGAAAAAAAAAGTTAAAAAACGCTTAAAAGACGTAAGAAGGAGCCATCATTTACGGACTACCTGTGTGGATGGTTAAAACATTAACCCACTACATAATTGTTGAAAATTCCACCTCCTAGCTCCTATTATTTGATTGATTTCTTTATAAAGAGACTCTATACACCACTTTCATAAATGGCAGCCGGATTAATATTCTTTTGTTTAAATTTAAATCAGCCTTTCTGGCCTCGTTCTCCAGTACAAAATTCAAAAGAATACATTCTCTCAAGCGAGGCCAGAAAGGCTCATTTAAATTTAAACAAAAGAATATTAATCCGGCAGCCATTTATGAAAGTGGTCAATTAGACCGTTTTATTTCGTCACTTTGTAGTGTCAGTCGTGCCTTACGTCATCGCATGCACACGTGAAACGCCTTAACCTTCCTTATCCCCACCCCCCCCTCCATGGCAACGAGCGCAGCTCAAGAGGCCTAAGTTTGATTCATTTACTCAGTTGTAACTATACTACGGAATTCTCCAAAGTCTTATGAGGAGGGCGTTATTTATTTTTGTATCTAAAGATTTACATAGTAAAACGAGTAGCTTACCAGCATACATGGCACCTGCCACGGGGAGGGATCAACAGCTGACACGTTCACCAAGTTCTCTGAAAGGAAAAAGTCACCAACTTTCAAATCGCAGCAATACTAACTCTTAGTCTGGTCTTCTTCACTGTACCGAAAGGACTACAAAGACGAGAGACGAAATTAGAGGTTCAATCAATTAGAGCTGTATAATTTGGATATATCAACAAAGTTGATAAAGTAAATTGGCCACCGTAACGATTACAAAAGCTGACGATTCGAGCGTTAGCCCTTCGTCGGAGTCAAGGCTAAAGCTCGAAACGTCAGCTTTTGTAATCGTTACGGTGGCCAATTTACCATTTCAACTTTGTTGATATATCCAAATTACTTCGTTACTCCCACCGACGCAGCCCCAAACAGTTTCTTTCGAAACTATCAGCCTTTATTCAATTAGAGCTATAGTTACCTATAGCAGGTCTGTGTGCCTTTGGAGGAGCTCGGCCCCCGTGCCTTTCACAATGAAGAATATAACCCTAACAAAGAGATAAAGTTTGAAATAAGAAAAGGACATAACAAATGATCACATTCTCGTTCACTTTTTCTCGTTTTCACTTTTCCCTCCCACCTCGATTAGCTTTGTTATTTTGCTGGTAGGGATTGTTAGATACATATTTTANGTCCGGCCGGGGCTCGAACCCTCGACCTCCCGCACTACAGTCCAGCGCTCTATCCATTGAGCTAACCGTGATATGACCATATTCTATATGACCATATTTCATAGTTCCCTCTGCTTCATATCGTTTCATTTCTCAAAGTAAAGGCCAGCCGGTTCTTCAGAGAAACGTCAGTGAAGGGAATTGTAAGCTATGCCGTACAAGCTAAACGAGACTACACAAACAACAATAGCCGTTTACACCCTATCATCAGTATACATCTTCTCCATACTGTTCTCAATATATTTCCTATTGCGCTGATAAGGAGAATTTGTTAAACAGTCAAGAACTTCTTTGATTGGCGATCATTTGCTGTTTTCTTGTGAACTCAAAATATGATTCAGGTGTGACATTGTAAGGAGAAATTAGATGCTGGTCACCCTTAGGAATCAGGGTGTTGAGGAACATGGGGGGTGGGACTCAGGAGAAATTAGATGCTAGTCACTCTTAGGGGTCAAGGAGTTGAGGAACATGGGGGGAGGGGGTCAAGAGAAATTAGATGCTAGTCACTCTTAGGGGCGTGGCACCACAGCAACAAACCTGAATGGTGAGTGAAGAGATATTGAAGAGCTTTTGATGATCTTAATTTTTCCTCCAGGAGACAAACCTAGGAGTAACATGAAGGAATAGGAGGTAAGGAAGATTCCTTTTCACGCTGCGTTTGTCACCGAAAAAAAGACATGAAACGGTATGAGTTATCAGATACACAAAAGTGTGGTACAGCGATGAAAAAAAGGTTCATGCCCTACTCTGATTCACCACTTTTAAGAATTTCTCTCTTGCTGGCAAATAACCAGTATAACTATTATGAGTTCTTTTTTTCCTAATCCAAACAAGAATTCCTGTTTAATGTTTGGTTTGTTTATTTTTGTTTTCCTTAATGTTTTTGCTTTAAGTTGCGCTTGTTTCTCAAAAAGGACTAAGACATCAAATTGAAGATTTTACACCTAAGTACAAGGGAAGTGAACCCATATAAATTTGCCACTGACCTAAGTCCGATTCTGAGCCTGCATTGTTCGCTCTGTCAAGTTCCACCACAACCTATGATTCACAAGCGCTCATTATTTAGCAAACAGTTGAGACAGTAATAAATAATAGAAAAAAAAGACAAAAATAAATAAGGAGAGAAAGAGATCGACCAATATACCATAACAATGTCATATTACCCAGAGATGAATAGCAGCATTTTCTTCTAACGACGCTAATTGAAACGATAGGCCTGACATATCATCTGCAAAAAAAAATAAATAAAAACTTGAAAATCGTTGGACTATTTGGACGACAAGGCGCGAAGAGCGCGGGTTATCAATCAAAGAGGTACGAATGAGGATCTGTCGCTTTAAGAACGGAACGAGAAGAAGAACTTAGTAATTTATCTATTCTTACATCTTTATCTCCCAATCAGAGGGTGCGCTATGATTGGTCGATATCACCGTTCGGCCCGCTTAATTCAAAGGTTCGTTTGACTTGAAATAATAAATATTTTACTAACCCGGTTTTTCTCGGTCCGCACTTTAAGTTACGGTACCTTGTTTTATCTCCTCGGATTTATGGCCCGCGCACTTCATGCCTGGGCCATGAATCCGAGCAGAAAAGAGGTATTTATGCCTTGAGTGAGTGTCCGAGCCGTTTGGAAAACGATTTCTAGGCACGCGGAATGGTTTCAAATAACTTGCCCACGTCTATAGCAAGACGAGTCAATTCCATATCGTTGTTTACTTAAAAGTTTAACCACAAATTTGAAGAAAATATTTTGAAACTTTTATTTGTCCACAAAAGACTACAACATTTGAAGTTGACGAGCAAGAAATTTTAGTAACAAAAAAAAAAAGTATATGTATCAGGTTACAGCAGGCCTTACAGTAGAGCAAAGACCGCCAAAATTATCAATAACTGCACACAGTACCTGCGAGATGTAATAAAATACAAGTAAGGAATGCGATTTTGCGAACTGTCAATGATTAATGCAAGCTAACCACTTGAGATAGAGGCACGGATCTTTTGTACCTGCATTATCTTTTACCATTACTTGATGTGCTAGCTCCTTTGAGAACGTCTGCTTGTTACAAAACTAACAAAGCTTCTCCTTTGATAAATAAGTACTTCACTTTACTAGAGCTAAATTAGTGCTCAGTTCGGTTACCTGACATCATACTTGTTCCTCCAGAAGCCCTTGCACTATTGGAATAATGAGATAATAAATAAGTTAAATAAAAAAGAGAAAGGGGAAAGTTACTAAAGAAAATGGATGCTGCGCCAGAAAGGGAGGGGGGGGTATCACCGGCAAGATAATTTGGGTTTATCAACTGAATTGACAATATAAACTGCCACCATAAAGAGTTTCAAAAACTAATTTTTCGAGCATGAGCCCTTCGTCAGAGCGATGATTGAGACAATAATTGGTCTTTCAGCTCTATTCTCTACGGTGGCTAATTAACATTATCAACTCAGTTGAAACAAAAAAATGGTCGGAAAAAAAAGTTTTACTAACCTAGAATTTTTTATCATATCCAATAATAAATATTACCGAAAAGTAAATCACGTCACAAGACCTCGGGTTTCTCCAATTATTTTATCTTCATATCATGTGCATTCAAACTTGTCTGCTACAACAAAGGATGAGGAACGAGCCACGGCTTCTTATCAACAATTAACAATTCAACTTGATCTAAAATGGCCAGTTGAAGTTTAACGTAATAAGAGGAATTTGAAATCGACTTTTGTTAAGTTGCACACAATTTATTACCGTTCATCGTTTGCGACAACTACTCATTTAAAAGTCAAAGAAACAGTTCATTCTTTACCTCGTAGCTGCGGAAATCTCTTGTAACAAAAGTCTGCAGTATGGAGATTGCTGTTTTTAATAAGTACTCGTCATCATTTATGGTTATAATTAACACATGTTTATTTCTATTTTCCACTAATAATGAGCGAGCACCAATCATAACAGGACGACCTAAGATTATTCTAATAACCTTGTGAGTTGTTTTAAACAAACCTGGTAGGTAATCAAGATAACTTGACCGTCTTTGTTTCTTTTTTCGGAATTTATTTTTTTTAAGGGAGACAGCCGCTTGAATCGTCGAGTTTATAAAAATCCTGCGTTTTCTCTAAAAACAATGAGACGCTACTACTTCCAGTTTAGTACACAATGAGTTAAACCACTGAAGTTCTGATCAACTTTTAAGAAGTCTTATTCACTAAACGTTTTATCAATTTTATGGAAAATTTTTCAGGTTAAATACATGTAAACGAACTTTATATCATGGATCAATGACGGAAACCTAATTTTATTGAAACTATGCGGACCGTGACATTACTCAATTCAAAAACTAATACAGTGCATAAATGCGGGCTAATCATAGACATGCTTTAGTCGGGTTTCAAACAGAGCGACCAGATCGAGTGCATTTCAACAGGGGTTTCGTTGAACCAAAATCAACGTTATCACATAGCCGATCAGTAGAAAACAAAATATCGCAAGGAGCATATGAGGATTCAAACTGAAAACAAGCAAACTGCCCCAAGCGCGGGAAAATCCCAGTGAAAAAGTCGCGTTCGGTTACAGTTTCGGATCTGATTGGTTGAGAAAGTGGCGCCGGTTTTCTTGACCAAGCACAGGGCGACATGAAGCAAAACTAATGCAATTCTGTTTTACATTCGATATACAAATAAAAATTGCACAATCGTAACCAACGACGCAACACGGTTGTTTGTCATGTAGGCAGTACTCACCTGTCTCCAGGCATGACGACGGGTAGGATCGATACGACCGGACTGAGATGACTTTCATCCTTTCTCAACACTCCAGCTGAAGAAATAAGAAAATAAAACTTTTAAAAGTCTTCCTGTATAAGCCATTAGTAAAATTTCAGATATAATGCTGGAGTACCTCGATTCATACCACCCACCTGTGCTAAATGTTGGCGGCCTTAAGAAGACCTCGTTGTCTCCAACGGAGATTTTAGAAAACGAGTACATCAACGAAGACTCTCTCAAGTCCCACCCTACTACTGATCCATCCTCCTTGAAATTTAACAACAACTCTGTTAAACTTTTTTTTTTAAATTTTTTTTTTTAAGTGGATGACGCAGTGGTCTAGAGGTAAGCGAGCTGGACTTCAAATTGAGGGGGCCCGATTCGATCCCTTGGAGACTTGATGGAGACACTTCAGTACTCTCGTAGTGTATCACTTAACCCAGGAGTACAAAACGTTACAGAAAAACTGACCAGGAAAGCCAATGAAATACT